GGAAGCTTCCCTCTAGGAAGCGGGCAAGCTATTCCGGAGGCGTGATTTCCCCGTTCTCCGGTGGTTCAGCTCCGGGGTGTGCAGCCCGGCGCTCCGGAGCGTTGGGTGGGGGTAGCGGGGAGGAGCAGCCCTGTTTAATGTGCAGCTTCACACACATCTGACCCTCGGATGCTGCTTTGGTACTTGCTGCAAGTTGTGCTGCCTAAATCTGGTCAACTTCCTTTGTGTAGTCGTGTAAGTCTGCCTTAAAACCTGTGCTTTAAAGGATCTTATTTGAAACTATCTTACTGAAAAGGTAACAACTCACAGAATACCCCTTTTTCAGTGTAACGACCCAGCAGTCAAAATTTGTGGTGTAACTTTTTTTTCTTTTGCCTAATTTGTATTTTCAAAACTATGGTTTAATTTACTAATCATACTGGCAGACAAGTGCAGATACATGGACTGCTGAAAAGCCTTGCTGTGTGCTTGGTTTATTTTTCCCTTCATTAGAAAGGGGAAGGCCTTCTCTAGAATGGGGGTGCATATGCCTCATCTTGCTTTTGCAATATAAAAATAGTACCAGCCCTATGAGTAAGTGTCCTTTTTGTGGAATAAGGAATAGAAGGTCACCATTTTGTAACATCCTTTTGTCTTAGCAAGTTATACCATCTTGCCTAAGATGGTCTTACAGCTTCTGTCATTGTAGCCTGTAGTTCCTGTACCTGTTGCTAGTGCTTTTGAGGTCATGTGTAAACACAAATTGTTCTGATGATTTTAGTCTAGCCACCCTGATAGTATTTTGCCAGTAGTATGATGGTATGCTGTCACTGGTACATCCAGCTGTTCATGAAGTGAGCTTCTTGGCATCTCTCTTCATGCTGTCCTGTTGACTTGAAAACACTGGAATAGTGTTTTTCAGCAACTCTGTGCTTGCTTTCATCATGCATTTGCAACAGGGGTGTACGAGGATGAGCTTCAGTTCAGATCTGCAGGGCCTGTGGTAATGTCAGTTCAGATCTGCAGGGCCTGTGGTAATGTCTGATGCTCAGCCTGTGATGGGGCTGGGCTATAAGGAGACCTGTGCAACAAGAGAAGCTTCTCTTTTCCTGCAAAATGCCTTTAGAACATCATTTTAGTGTGTAAAACTTGTTCTTTGTTGGAAAGGCTTCCTTAAGATCCATAGCAGTAAATGCAAAATAAACACTTTTTTGGAATAATGTCATATCCAAAGTTTGTTGAGGAATTTGTCTTGGGAATCTGTGAGCTGACAGTATTCAAGTCCCATCCTACTGAGCATGGCCAGCCAAGTGAGCACAACAAAAAATCTTGAAGAAAAAACATGCTTTGCTTTAATTTGCTGGCTCCTTGAGCTCTTCCTGCCGATGAGTCATGACTTTTGAACTGAGGGTAGCACGGTAACTTTTTACTAGTTTAGGGCCTTTCTTAAGTGTTAAAGGACAGGTAACTGTGGCTGTTCAGAGAAGAGGAACTAAGAGGAAAAACTCATTTCTTCCTTGTTGCTCCTACCAAAAATAGAGCTCTGAGTCACTCGGGTGCCGGAGCTCGCAGCGTGAGCGCCGGCATATATTGCCACAATAACCTCATTTCGGGGTAATTTGAGCCCAGCCAGTCCCGGCCGGACGGGGAGGTGGGAGGAATGATCCAGTAAGTCTCTTCAAGTCTTACCTTCCATGACTGACAAGCCATGAAGCTGGCATCAGCAGTTTTTCTGAAACATGCTTCCCCTATTCTGTTTTGAGTGATCCTGTGTTTTTCTGTCAGGTGCCTTTGCCACTCTGTTTTTAAATTAAAAAGTAAACAATGTTACATACTCC